GGTAAAAGGAACCCCGTACCGACGTTCGTACGAACTACTTACCCTAACCTACGTCCTCGCCCTTCCGTCCAAACCTAAGCTCATCACTATTGTCACCCTCCTCTCTCTCTCTCTCTCTCTCTCTTCTCTTCTTTCTCTCTCTACTGACGCACGGGGACTTTAACGCTCGGGGGGGGGGGGTCTCGGCATTTTGTGGCGGGGTCCTTGGGAAGGAACTCGTTCAGACAAGTGCACGTGTACCTCGACAGCCTTTATGTCCTAAGCATATCTCTCTCAATTTAGACACAATCCCATCTAATAATATCACCCATTCACATCCAACTCTCTCTCTCTCTCTAACGTAAGAGGAGTGAGAAAGTGTTTTAACCGCATGGACTCCTCTGCCAAATTGCATGCAGCTAATTCGCCACCACCAGCCGTTCTCTTTCTCTCTCTCTATAGTTAACTTGATACTTATGGTTGAAACCGTTCTCTCTCTCTCTCTAGACTCCTGCAAATTCGACTCTTCTCTCTAAATGTTCAATGGACATAATTATTAGGAAGAGATAGATTGAGATTTTCATCCTTTTGGTGAAAATCAATCTATGGAGTTAGGGTTTCGAGACAGAGTACGTTTGAGGTTTTTGGGTCCATCATCGTTCAAGTTGCAGTCCGTGGAAGAATTTACAGAGGGAAAATTATTTCAAACAAGAGTTTTCCTTCTTACTTTTATCTCAGAATTGGGAAACTTAGAAGCTCCAATGAACAAGAAGTAAGAGAGAGAGAGAGAGAGTTTGAAGGCATAGCCCAAAAACCAGACTGTTTTTAAAGGAAAGAAAAATAAGTCAAGATACAAGAGCTGAAAAGAGTACCCATTTCAATTGACAACTTAAAATCTTTTCCCCTCCATAGTTGCAGCCTTCCGAGTTCTACTCAGCATACCACAAATGAAACTTCCTTCTTCCACTTCCGAGCTCCTCTCTTCTTCCAAGCTTCCAGCTTTCTCTCTCTAACTTGGACGTCCTCTCTTTCTCTCTCTTCAGTCTCTCTAAACTACTGTGAGAATTACCATGGAGCATTTACAGGTCCCGTAATGGAGAAGACAAGGAAAGGAGGGCGCTCGATCCGATGGCAAACTTGTGAATTTTCCTGCAAATCCCACCCTTGAAACTGAATTTCATCCCCATAAAATATCACTTCCACTCCAAATATTCTCCAATTCTTCCTTCTCAGAAAACGAAGCAAGGGTGAGAGAGAAATTCGGGATCAATGGAGAAAAAGAGGGAGAAAGAGAATTGGAAGTGAGTTAGATTGAGAGGGAGAGAATGGGAGGACAATGAGTTAGAGAAAGAAATGGAAGAACTAGAGAGAGAGAAGCTAGGGTTTCAATAAGGAGGGCGGCCGGTGGCCCAACTATACGCGTCAGGTGGCAACTGAACACTGTTCAGAAGGTTGGGCGGAAGTGAATGGAAGAGCGGAGCGTTCGGATCACTCAACAATTGTTGCGGCCCAGACTGTGACTGCGACTGAGATCCCCCACCCGGAGACCCCATCCCACCACCGCCGCCCCCACCCGCCACCTGCAATGCGCCCTCATCCTCATCCAAAGGCAACCTCTCATATGCCGCGTTCCCAAACGATGCTGCCATAATGATGACTGGCCCCGAAGCCACCAACGCTCCTACCACGCTGCCCCCCACCACCTGCCCCTGCCCTCCCGCCAGGTATATTGTCAGCCCAGTGGCCGCCGGTGGTGCTGGCGGTGGCAGGAACGACCCCGACAGCGAAAGTATCTCGAAGCGGCCGTGCAGCGTCACTATGGCACCAGGTGCTGCTGGTTGCCGCAGCGTGACGTTGGTGACGGTGCCACTCCCGCTCAGTATGCAAACCCCACGCTGCCGGCGGCGGGCAAAGTTGGCCACGCTCTCCCCGACATCGCAGCCGCTGGCCACCTCCATCACGTGCGCTCTCAGAGCATTGGCGCTTTCCCGGGTGATGATGATGGGGGGCTTCGGCTTGTTCTTTGAGCCGGCCGGCCGGCCCCTCGGCCTCCTCGATATCTCGCCTTCTCCCCCTGATTGTTGCAGCTCCTTGTTCGAGTCGTTCTGGTTCTCTTCATGGTTATTCGTTGGGGTGTTCGGGTCTTGATCTCGCTTCTTCCCTCTGTTGAGATCGCTACTCCCACTCTGGTCTTCTTCCGAGTTATGGTGGAGGTGCTGGTGCTGGTGGTGGTGATGGCTATGGAAATCTCTGGTGTGGAAGGGAGGCGGGAGCGAGTGGCCATGAGCTGATGCACTTATTGGATCCATTCTCTCTCTTTCTTCTCCTCTTTCGCATGCTACATGCTCTCTCTAGAACCCTACTCTCTCAATCCTGTCAAGAATTACAGGATTGAAAACAATTTTCTCTCTCTCTCTCTAACACCTCTCGAATTAGAAAATATCAGAACTCTCTCTATCTCTTTCACCCTTATTTGGGAATTCGAAGATAGGAAACTCTTACTTCTTTCTCTCTCTAACCCCTAACTGGAATTAGAAGATATCCAGTTTCTCTTTCTATAATAAGAAGCTTTCCTTATTCTGAATCATAGAGAGAGAAACAAACCTATGGCAATTCAGAGAGAGAAAGTATTACAATTTTATAGAGAGAGTACTTACAGTGCCTTGCCTAAAATATCAGTCATAAAGGGCCTGGTTTCCTCCTGAAAGAGAGACAAGATTGCCCAGAGTTCTTGAGAGCCGGTGAAACTCTCGAAATCCTAGAGAGAGAAAGACACGGGGTTAAGAGAGAGAAAAGGAAAGTACAGCGCGAAAGCAACGACACGCTCTCTTCTAACTCAGTAGCGTCGCAGCAGCTTTCTTTGTTTCGAAGCCTCAAAATCTTCTTCACCTAAAGTGATTTGATTGAGTAGTGAGGGGTAGGGAGAGAAAGTAGTCAAGGGGTAGAGAGAGAAAGCGTGAGGCGAATTTTTCGTTCGGGTTAGGGTTCGGGTTAGGGTTAGGGTTAGGGTTAGGGTTAGGATTAGGGTTAGGGTTAGGGTTAGGTTAGGGTTAGAATTGAGTTAGGGGAGGGCTTGGATGATGGGTTTGCTTCGGACGAGATAGCGTGCGCGTGGGCGGTGGGTGGGCCCCTTTCTCTTTCTTCTGTCTCTCTTTCTCTCTCCTCCAAATCCTTCCCCTCTCCCTCCCCCTCTCTCTATTCTCCATACATTCAACAGTGATTTACTTATGGATCTTAAAATTTTAAGTTAAATACCAAATGAAAAGATGGGTCAACCAGTTATTTTTATTTTTTTCAAAATTATTTTTTGATTAACCTGAATTTTATTTTTTTTCATTTTTGTTAGCTTTTTTGTTGAGTGCCATAGAGCTTGGTGAAAAAACTAAAAAAATATAAAAAAATCAAAATTTGAGTTGATAGAAACAATTTTGAAAAAAATAAAAAAACACTGGTTGATTGACTTCTTTTGTAATTTCTGCATATTTTTGGCCTCTCACATTCTCCGCTTCTTACGCTTAATAACCTTCAAATGCCAGTAGTAAAATTTCTCAAGTTAGAGAGAGAAACTATCTATTGTTTTAGAGAGAGAAACTAGGTAAATTTTAACTCATCTAGATTTCATTCTTTTGCCAAGCCAGAAGGATGGGAGGCTTTTCCTCTGCAGTGAGAGATCAGGATGCTTCTCCAAGGTTTCATGAACCAGTGCGAGAACACCATATCCATTTTTGTTTTTTTTTTATCGTCTTTGCAGTTTATATGATCATGGGGATCTCTGATATATCTTGTCTCTCACTCATCCTACGCCTGCTTCTCACATCCCATTTTCTCTCGCCTACCATATAAAAGAAAAGTCTACAATTTGATTAATTTTTGGAACTTATCCAGGAGGTTTAGAGAGAGAAATTTAGAGAGTTTAGAACTTACCCAGGAGGTTGAGAGAGGGAAAATGATCCAAGTTTAGAGAGAGAAAGTTTGAGAAAGAAAGAGGAGAGATATACAGGGATCATTGAATATAGAGAGAGAGAGGTGGGTTTTAACTGGGGGAGCAGAGGTAGGTTGCAGGAGGAGCGTGCATGTGGGTCATGGGGAATTGGAGTTAGGGGCACCACCATTACTGCTGCTTCTCTCCTGCTAACAATAATGTTCAGGCATTACACACCCATTCCCATTCCTTTTAATTTTGCTTGTTCATATCGATGGGCCCAATCAACCGGTCAAAGGGCTTCTCTCTCCTCTCTTTCTCTCTCTCTCTCTGAAAGCACCCGCACGCACATTTATAGAATTTCTGTCTCACACGCACCTGCAGGCTCACTCGTCAATAGCTCAATATATTAAGAGTTAGGATACGGTTTTGGTGAGTCAGCCAACTCAAATTTAGACTATTGGTTGAAAACTTGAAATTATCGAACTTTAAAATTTTCGAAAATATATCATTGAGATATACTTTCTAGGGAGACTGCACAAAAATAATGTGATTCAGCGGACGCACCAAACAATTCTCCTGAAGAGTTTAAGACTTAACCCCCTCTTCCTCCCTATCATGTGTCCTAGCATATGGTAAGACGCTCTCACTCTTGTCTCTCAACATGATGGATGTAGAGAAGGTTTATATGAGGTTCGCAACTGTAGAATAAAAATTAAACTGATGAGGATGAGAATTAAAGTATAAATATAGAGAAGAAAATTTTCATCCCAAAATATAATACATCTTGCAACACATTATTTAGACCGTCGATTTTCAAGATCTTCATGTACTTAAGGCTCATAACTCATGAGGTTTGGATCCGAAATCTGAATTTCGGATCCTACCTAGTTATTAATATAGTATATAGTATGCTTTTGTTATCTATTATTTCATAAATATAAAATAATAAATAAAATATTTTTGGTTGTGATCTGGTCCAGATCCAAATCTGGAACCCACGTAATACTTTTCTGATCGGGATTCAGATGAGGATCTGATTATTTTGGATATGATTGGATCCGGATGCAGATGAGGATCTGATTATTCTGGATATGATTGGATCTAGATCCATATATACTTTTTGGATCCCGACAGATCCAAACCAGATCTGACACATTCTCAGCGTTACATGTATTTATAGTGCTGCTGGATTTGAACCATTTTTAAAATAATTAAAAATAGGTTTTTAAGCCATCTTAAGAAATTTACATCAAACTTACATTGTATGACAAATTTTTAAAGTGCGTCTTATTTTGATAGTTTAAAATTGCAACCTTATACAAACCACAGCGAGACTTTTTTTTTTTTTTTTCTTCCTCCCTCTCCTCACCCTTTTAAATTGACTTACTTACCCACTACCATATATCAACTTTTCTTTCATTTTTATTCATCCTCAGCATCAAAGCTTTTTCCCTCAGTTCTTATTAAACAGATTATTACTCATAAGCCTGTTTCTCACTTCAATGAAATGGACCGATTTCTCTTTAAATTGACCCACTTACCCACCATAACAACTTTTCCCTCATTCTTTTTACACCGGCTATTGCTCATCCCGCTGTTTCTCTCTCTACGAAAAGCATTCGAGTAGGATTTTTTTCCGGATCAAGTAGCGAGTCAAAAGATTGCATAATCGCATAGGAACATATTTACCATCTACCCCTTCCAGTAGAATCCTCTATTCGAGAACTCGTGGGATATTAAATTATGGGGTTGTTAGTGATGAATTTGAATGAAAAACTTATGGAACGCATTAGACATGCTTGAAAAATATAACATCTTGAAAGAAATAAATTGAAATTGCCCAATTCTTTTAATAGTCAAATTTAAGTATTGAGAAATTTAAAATAAAATCCCCTTTTGAAGATACTTTGGTGCTTGTAATATGGATACCAAAATATGAGACCCAAAAATTGAGAGACTAAATGCACAATGCAATCCTGCAGGAGCATTATATATGATAAAGTCTGGAAGCAGCTGGACACATTCATTTCTCCTTCCATCACCCATCATAACAAGGCCCAAAGAAGAAAGAGAACATCCCCCAACCGTCCAAAATAAGCTTCCAGCAATTATCACAAATCTACAACTTGGTGGGCTCATTAAAAACCATATCCTTCCAAAAAATTAATCCAATTTTACTATTTCAAACCACCCCACCAATCATTAGAGAACCCAAATGGATATCCATCAAAATTTCACTAGCTTAAAACCAAAAAAATAAAAAAGAGACAGAAAAACAAATTTGGGCTCACATAACTAAGGGTGAGGTTTATATAAGGCATCATTTTATGTGGCAGAAGTAAGGCATGCCTCTAAATTTTATTAAGAGAAATAGCTTAAGTATAAAAAATCTTAGGAACGATCGAAAATCTATTTCTATCTTCAATCATAAAATTTTAAAATCTAAAATTCGTCTGGATCAAGCAAATCTATAAACATTGAAAAATCATAAAACTAGATAATTTAGATAACTTATTACAAAATGTACTATCGTTATTACTTGAAACTCCTTCTTTTCTTTTCTTTCTTTTTCTTTTTTTTTTTTTTTTTATTTATTATTATCGAGATCAAAATGATCAATTAGAGGGAACATCAAAACGAATTTTAAGGTAGACTTTATTTCAATAGTGCAAGGTTGACGTCTTCTATAAAACTTCCCTCTCTAAAATATAGGTTTCTACATAGAAATCCTTTCTCACTCTATAAAAAAAAAAGGTTTGAGTGAGGCGTAGAAATTTGGCAAATGGGAGGCTGGTTTCCCGGTGCGAAGATCGAGTTGAAGGCGCAGGTCAGGTCCCTTGAGGGGCCGGCCGTGGACTTATTCTTGTGCGAGGAAAGGAAGGCGTGGGCCACGAGGGACTAAATTCAGGAAACCCATGAGAGAGAGATGCTCTTTGTCGGACCACGTTGATTTCTTCCCATTTTTATAATGTCCCTTGGTGTGGCCTAGCTCCCCTGGCTTGCACATGTTACAAGGTTTCTCTCTCACTAAAAACTCTCTCTCTCTCTAAAAAATCTCTCCCTTTGCGCAAGCTAACATCTCTCTCCACTTACATAGTGTGTTACAATGCTCTCTCTCTCATCATGTTCGTGGTTGGATTTTCTCTCTCATGTAGTGTCTCTCTCTGGGTTTTCTCTCTCATGTACTCTCTCTCTCATAGTCTGTCTCTCTCTGGGTTTCTCTCTCATGTACTCTTTCTCTCTCATATTATGTCGAGGATACTTTTTCTCTCTCATACACATGCAGACATATCGATGTGGTGCTTCACTCTCTCTCTCTCTAGCTTTAATACTCTTCGATTCCCCCATAGATATAGAGATAATGTATCTAGTGCAGTTTTTTTTTATCCATTCCCACCTCTGGTGCAGTTTTTATATCTCCTTAACGCCCACATAACTGTATGCTCCCTCTCTCTCTTACAATTCTGATTCATTTTCTTCCTCACGCCCCAAAACATTACTCAGTCTGTCTCTCCACTCTCAAAACAACATAGACCTTAAGTATGTGTTCATATCATCATGATCAAAGTTTTTTCTCAATTAATTAGGATTAGCTATACGAAATCTTAATCAGTCATTATGCTCTATTAATCATACTCTTAGTAAGGCCATAAATCTTTATATTTTTTTCTTGTCATCTTCAAATATCTTCATTTGGACTTACCTTTTGTATCATTCCACTCGAACTAACTTACACGTGCTAACCAGTGTTGTACTAGATTTGCACCACACATGACCGGCCCATCTAAACCTACTTTCTCTCATTTTATCGCTGGTGCCACACCTAATTTTCTTAAAATCATCTCTCTCTTACTGTACATAAAACATAATTTTGCACCTTCTCTCTCATGCTTATAAAACATGATCAGGTATTCTTACTCTCTAACTACTCTTATGCTAACATAGACCTTTTGTATATTGTCATTTCGTCTCACGCTATATAATTTGGTCATCTTTCTTTCTCATGCTATATAAAACATAATTTGGTCCCCTGCTT